CCTTTCTGAGACGGAATAGCAAGGGAGCCAGAAATAATTCCTTCTTCGACATTTTCCGTCTTAGACATGGAAATTAACAGGAAGAGGGAAGCCAGGTTCCAGAGGCCCAGCCGGTGGGATCAAGGGTCGCAGGATCGGTTGGCAAGCAGTGGTCACACCTCTTAAGGGCTATCCTTCCTCTCTGATTATCAGAGGCGGTTTGTTACCTGGTGCCGGTCAAATTTTTGTCAGCTGGACTGTTGACAGGAGATTTATTGCCGATGATGATTTTCGTTCAGTTTTAAGTAAATCCAAACAAAATGTATCAACATTCAAAAGCATCTTGCCGATTCGAAGGTGCTCAAAAAGAGAAGTGGGATTCACTGCTGTTTTGTCGCGACAAAGCATCATTTCTTCATTTTTGTTATCGCGCCGGCTCGTAACTTTAAATCGTCTCCCGTCAAGCCGTCACGTCGCGGGACTTCGTTCTACGTACGAGGCCAAACCGAACATGACAGGCTTAAAAGGGGGTGTCCACATACGCGATCGGGTCGGGTCGGGTCGGGTCGAGCCTAGGCCTTCTCAGTCAGGCCAGATATCTCGGACGTTGGCTCCGGCATTGAATGCCGGGGTGGACGACCTTATCCTGATAAGCTCGCCTCGAGACCGGTCCTTATCTTATCGAGGATCAATGTGAAAAGCGGCAATTAAATGCCAAAAGCGGCAATTAAATGCCAAAAGCGGCGATAGGCAGATGTTCTAATACTAATACGTATACAGGTGATGGAACATTTTTGCATTACGCTTTTGCGTGCCGATAGTGTAAAAGGAATGTGTGTAGTGTGTAGCCGTCTAGTCTGTCTAATCTCCTAGCCTCTTCATTGTTCAATTCAGTCCTCTTGGGTGTACACGTTTTTTTTGGTGTTTTTTTCTCGTTTGGATGTATTTTCCCTACACTCGATTCTAAGGATTAAATTTGTGCTTATATTATGTGGTTTAGTGTTCAGCCCAGATTCTAGTTTTCTTTCATCTTGAATGTTATTGTTACTAGAATGGCCACCTGTGAGAATAGCGCAGGCGAGTCTTTTGCTATTCTCACCCGGTGTGCGTTCACCGTTATAGCGTAGATCTAGGCCAACCAATTTTGCTTTCACCCTGAACCACCGAATTCTACACTGTGATAACAGAAAAATTGAGGAATTCTGTGCCGTCAACAAACGTTCCATTACTATTGTTAGCCTAAAAGCGTACAATAATTTTGTCTGTGGGCAGTGGAGAGAGAGAGAGAGAGAGAGAGAGAGAGAGAGAGAGAGAGAGAGAGAGAGGAGTAGCGCGAGAACTTCCGGGCAAAACAAAATGGCGACCCGCGTAGTTCGGCTCGATTCGAAAAGTTAAATAACCATAGCATCTTTGTAGACGACCAAATTAATATACTTTTGTGTTTTAACATCATTTCAAAACTTTCTTTTGGTCAATTTGATCGTCCACACCGATAGACAGTATTCAGAAAGAGACAGAGCTTAGAGTGAGAGAGAGAAGAGGGCCGGGGAGGAGAACTTGCGAGAACTTCCGGGCAAAACAAAATGGCGACCCGCGTAGTTCGGCTCGATTCGAAAAGTTAAATAACCATAGCATCTTTGTAGACGACCAAATTAATATACTTTTGTGTTTTAACATCATTTCAAAACTTTCTTTTGGTCAATTTGATCGTCCACACCGATAGACAGTATTCAGAAAGAGACAGAGCTTAGAGTGAGAGAGAGAAGAGGGCCGGGGAGGAGAACTTGCGAGAACTTCCGGGCAAAACAAAATGGCGACCCGCGTAGTTCGGCTCGATTCGAAAAGTGAAATAACCATAGCATCTTTGTAGACAATCAAATAAGCTTACTTTTGTGCTATAACGTAATCTATTTTTTCTTTGCTTTTATCCATTTGATCATCCACACCGATAGAAAGTATTCCGAAATTACGAAAAACAGGTCTTGTTTCATACCGGGTGAGAATAGCCAACAGTGGCAAGTCTCACCCGGGGTGAGAGGTCGATCGTATTTTTATTCTCACCCCGGGTGAGGATAGCCACTTCCTACTAGAATCTATTGTATCTGTGAAAACGTTTTCATCTGACGTCTCAGTTTCAGCGCAATGAACCGTGTGAGCAACATTTGAACATGGGAAGAACGTGTAGTGGATGGGGCAGTAGAAATGTTTATGCCAGCTAAAAGGGAAATGCAAAATAACAATAATAGATTTCCAAAAGATTCGGAGAAAAAGCACAGTGGATCAAAAGTGTTCCGTATATATATATATATATATATATATATATATATATATATATGGGAGTTTGCTCTCTGCACTTCAAACCTGATGTACCTTTGAAACGGGCTGGAAGATTTATAGTGCCCACAGAGTCTCCAACAATACTTCCAGAAGTACCACCATCATGTTGTGGCACACCAGCTCCAAAAAAAGAGAGCAACTGCAACAAGTTCAGCTTCTTCTAGAGCTGCAAAATGGTGAAATGGTATGGGTTTAACGCCTCTATCAACACTGTTATAGAGCTGCTGATATTGATAAAATGAATATATTTAAAGAAAGAGATGTCTTCGAGTTTGATTCATTTTATCAAACAATGGACGCTGACAGCCATTGGCAATGTTGCAAAGAGTAAAGATAATTATAATACATTTGTCTTGCTCAGCAGAACTCGAGATGGCCCTATTTTTGCATTTTCCTTGTATTTTACTTTTGTTCACTCATGACCTCGTGAAAGAGGTTTCATTTGAAGCTTCATAAACTGAAGCACATCAGGCATCCAGACTTCACTAGAGATGTTGCCACATGCTTGAGTCAGTTAGCCTACATGAAATTTTGCACTTCGTGTGTAACCTTCCAGAGAGAAATTGTTGGCCTACACTACTACTACTACTTGTTGGGTAGGTTTTTTTGGGTTTTTTAAAATGGAAAACCACTGAAAAACTGTGCCGAAATTGATAAGTGACGATGTTGTGGGACTTTCCAGGGATATTCCATCTTGATATATTGTTATCGTAGGCTGATGTGGCTGGCAAAATATCTTCATGAAATATTTGCGGGGCAAATGAAGGACAGGCGAAGGAAAAAAATAGCAAAGTAACTTTTTTCAGAGGTAAGGGATTGTGTTCAGTTACATGCTTTAAAATATAATAATATATTTCTGCCTCTCTCTCTCTCTCTCTCTCTCTCTCTCTCTCTCTCTCTCTCTCTCTCTCTCTCTCTCTCTCTCTCTCTCTCTCTCTCTCACTCTCTCTCTCTCTCTCTCTCTCTCTCTTCCACGAGTGAACCTTAAAAATAAAAAATAATCATTAATCCCCCCCCCCCCCCCCATTCGGAGTCCCATAAAAGCGGGGCGTTCAGACTTTGAATGAACTTTGGTGACCCCAACAACCAGTGCTCACACGATGCAGTACCTTGTGACTAAGTGCACTGACCTGCCACGGCGGCGAAGCCGACAAGACGCTTGTATTTGTATAACTTTCTTTTCTTTTTTTTTTCTCCAAAAGTGACAGCACAGGACAAATATTGATTTATTTTCATGGTGGTAAATTTTTTAAAAACCAAAAAAAAAAACAAACAAGGGCACGGCAAAAATTGCCGCGGTTAACCCTTTGATTTTAAGGGCAATACGCAAATTGCAAAGGCACCGAGGCAAATTGCCGCGGTGCCGCGGTATATTATTTCAAGCCCTATATATATATATATATATATATATATATATATATATATATATATATATATATATATATATATATGTGTGTGTGTGTGTGTGTGTGTGTGTGTGTGTGTGTGTGTGTGTGTGTGTGTGTGTGTGTGTGTGTGTGTGTGCGCGCGTGTGTGTGTATGTGTGTCAAATCTATTCTCTTTCAATATTTGTTGAAACTTGTAGAATGAGAACGATGTTGCAAGTGAAGAACAAAAGTTATCCCACTAGTGTGCCACGGTCTTTTTTTGTGATAAAATGCAAACGTAATTCATTTTCATGTTGACGAATTGGTACACTCTGTCACTGGTGTGATCTTCCTTTGTTATAGGAGCCAATAAACTCTCACAAAAAAAGCTGCAACAACAAAAATGCATTGCATTTAACTAAGGTTCGTTGTAGGCCAGTCTAGTGAGTACAGTGCGAGAATGCTCCATCACCCGCACCAACGCACTAGTCTATCGCCGCTTTTCGCATTGACTCTCCGGGAACGTGGTAGGCCTCCAATGCCGAGGCCAGTCGTGCGGGCTGTGTGGCTTAGGACTGAGAAAGCCTGGTCACTAGGCCTAGCCTAGTCAATGACTGAGCCTGCTAGGCCTTGTCATCTCCGGTGGAAGGCCAGCCCACCCAGAGGTCATCAGGGTTGCCACTCGTGGATTTTTTAAAACCCAGATCTGGGTATTTCGACTTGGGTCTTGGGTTCTGGGAAGGTACGAGGGAAATTTGAGTAAATCTGGGTTCTTGGCTCATTTGGTTTAACAATGATCACTTACAGTGTTATTATACTGAGATTAAGTAGGCCACCTACATCGTAGGCTACATTACATGTGTTGTCATTAAAATCTGGCCTACTGCTTACGCTGTAAGCAATGATATTTTGCCTGGCCTTCAATGGAGTATTCTGAAAATTGCTTATTGAAGTTGAAAATTATTTTATTAATAACTTAAAAAAACATTTTGTTGAATAAAAAAAAATTCAATTTTTTTTTTACCTCAAGCCTTTTTTCCCCTTATATAAGCTATGTATCTGGGTTTATGGACCGACATCTGGGTTTATTTTGACCCACAGAATTCTACACTACTATAAGTGTAGAATTCTGTGTTTTGACCCAAATTTGGTTGATAGGGGCGTTAAACCTATACCATTTCACCATTTTCACCAAATTTGGCCGGATCTGGGTTTGTGTCAAAATCATAGAGTTATCTCCTTTATCTATGGTCAAAATAGATAGTGGCAACCCTGGAGGTCATAATGTTCAATTCTATATTAACTTCCGGGTCACGTAATGGCGCGGTTCTGTGAGTACTAGACTGTGTGTTTTGTTTCTGTTTGTGTTGTTGGAATTTTTATGTTGATGGAGATTAATTTTACCGCTGTGTCCAAATCTAGATCTAGTCTTTCACTTTCCTAAAAAGAAAGCTACGGATAGGTAACGGTAGGAGCCTGGAGGGGTAGATTTAGAATATGTAGGCCTCTCTGAGCCTTGATGATAATCTACTGTAAGTAAGTACTTCTAGATTCTACTTCTCTGTTGACATCCACCCCTTGGCGCTCATGACCTAACCTAAGACTAACTAAGTAGGTGCAGTTGCACCGTAAAACTTCTAGATCTACTAAAACTTATACTGAAAAAAAGCGGTGTTTATTTTTCTCGAAAACACTAGGAAACACTTGAAAACGCTAGGAGTAGGAGACACTCGAAAACACTAGGAATCACTCGAAATCCCTTTGATACCTTACCCCCGGACGCTTACCAACCAAAGCCTTGATTTTCATGACGAAATTGTCTTTGCGGCTTTGCGGCCCAGATTATTTTGTCAATACAGACCCGGTAACCAGGAACAAACTTTTTTGTGATTTCAGAAACTTTTAGCGCCCAAACTCGGTAGTGTTACCATGAACGTGTGTGTGTGAGAGAGAGAGATGTGCTAGCAAAATGTCATGCCCCAGTTGGCAGGAGGGAACGAGAGAAAAATAAAGTGGGAAATAGGTGGGGAGAAAGAAAGACAGAGACAATCGAAGAAAAAGAGAGGGCGAGCGATACACAGAGGAGAGAGAGAGGGGTGACTGTTCAATTGAAATGATGGCATATCTTTTCTTCAAATTGTGATTCCTCCAACTCCAAAACGGAGGAAAAACAAAATCGTTCATAGAAAAGACATCTGCAATCTTCATCTAGATCTAGATCTAGATCTAGGCTAGCCTCGAAACTAGATCAATGATTTGTCTGTCTAGATCTAGACCTAGGCCATAGATCTAGAAGAACCTAGACCTAGATCTACCCTGAGCCAAGAGGGCGCTGAAACTTTCCGAAATCACAAAAGAGTTCCCCTACCGGGTCTGTATAGCCTACTTTGTGGTAGAGTTGGGGCGAGCGGACGGACGGGTTTGTTACTCGCGGACTCAGTCAGAGTGAACGGGTAACGGACGGCCATGAGAGCGAACTGCGGACCTCAAGACAGTTCATTTTTTGGGTCCGCTCCACAATTTGACTCTCTCAGCGAGCGGACCCCAAGCCTCAAGTCAGTTCGTTTTTTGAGTCCGCTCCACAATTTTATTCACTGGGCGGGCGGGCGAATGGACGAACTCTAGCAGACGAGATACTCGACGCGAGATTAGACCCGTCGTCAATTGTTTGTTAATTAGGCCTGATGTTTCAAACCACTAGCCTTGCCACAGGGAGTGAGAGAGGCTAGTGACGTAGTACTATAAAATAATATGTGTAACCTTTCACCTCGTGCGTGGGACACACTGTGTACGTTCCAATTATCTCAAAGGCCGGGGGGGGGGGGGGGGGGGGGGGCGGAAATTTCCGCCATGAACGCCTAGCTGCAATGTGAAGCAGGAGGGTGATTTTTAAATTTTTTTTTTTTGGGGGGGGGGGGCGGGGGGTTGTAAGTTGTAGGCAATGGAAGGGGTCGTTCCTCCTCGTCTGCCCGCTCGAATGCATGGAGTCTCTCGGTCCGTCCGTCCGCTCGCTCGCTCGCTAAACGAACTGTTGTCTCTGTCCGATGTGTAGCGAGTAGCGAACTACTCTTCACAAATGGACGGTTTGTTACCCGTCCGCTCGTTTGCGGGTAGTGCCAGCGGGTAGTTCGTTACTCGCGGACGCTAATTTTGCGAGCCCGACCCAACCCTACTTTGTGACTTTCGGTTACCGGGTCTGTATACACTATACACTCCCTTCTAGCATAGCCTGATCTTTGATTCTAGGCTGCCTTCTGATACTAAAATAATAATTTCATCCAAAGGTACAAAGGTGATTTTGAGTGATTCCTAGTGTTTTCGAGTGTTTCCTACTGTTTTCGAGTGTTTCCTAGTGTTTTCAAGAAAAATATACACCCAAAAAAAGTATTTTAAGCATTTATAATGAAGTAGATCTAGATCTAGTTCTATAGAGTTATGAACATGACCATAGTTCCATTTTGTATTATAGGGAGTGTATACAGACTCGGTAACCGGGAACAAAGTCACAACGGACGGAGTGTCTACGTACACGGTAACCGGGCACGTAACCTCAGGGTCTACGTATACGGTAACTGGGCGCATAGCCTTAGGGTCTATGTACACGGTAACCGGCAACCGGGCATGAAGTCTCAATGTCACACACACGGTAACCGGGCGCGTAGGCTCAATATCTATGTACACGGTAACCGGCAACCGGGCGCCTCTCATTATCTAAGAACACGGTAACCGGGTATTTAGTTTCGTGGGGGGGGGGGGGGGGGGGGGGGTCTTGAGCTAGAGCTAGGTGCACGGTAACTGCTTTGCTCCCTTCATGATGTTGACATTAATTTTTCCTTTTTCACCATGTAGTCTCAATGTTGCATACACGGTAGCCGTGCACGGTAGCCGTGCACGTAGCCTCAATATCTACGTACACAGTAACCGTGTACTTAGTTTCGGGGGGTAGGGGGGGGTGCGGAAGGAGGCTTGAGCTAGGTGCACGCACTGTAACTGCTTCGCTCCCTTCATGACGTTGACCTTTTTTTCGTAGATCTAGATATAGATCTATCCCTACCAAAGATAGAGATACAAGATTGTTCACTCAGCCCGAAACGTGTTCGCAGAAGTCAGCGCATTGCTTCAGATGGCGCTGGAGTCTTTTTGCTTTGAAGCTCTTTCCTTTCTCCAGAAGAAGAATAGGATAAGCACAGTCTGTTAATTTCACTTTTATTGTTTTTCACACAAGTCCAAGTAGGGTCTGTTTGCGAAGTCTGCACTTTTTCGAAGAGGGCGCCACCAAATTCTGAGAACACTTTTTATTTGGCTCAAAAAGAGGAGCCAACTATCTTGTGATCCATGATCTTTGTCCCTACGCGAAAGAGGATGGGGAAAGGAAAAATGAGGAAATGCTAAATCTAGACAATTTCCATCCTTCTTTTAAAATGCCCTGTGCCCATAATATTTTGTTGTATTCATACACCCTGTAAGAATATAATTTCATAGTATTCACACACCCTGTGCGAATAACATTTCATAGTATCACACAGTATTCACACACCCTGTGCGAATAACTCCAGCCTACTGTGAAACTGAAGAAAATAAAAAAGCAGGTGGCTATTCTCCGGCGTCGCGCTGGTAAATAGATCAATGGCTATTCTCTGGCGTCACAATATAGTTGCATATATTCGCTTCTCCACAGCTTTCTATCTCCCCTGTCGGCACGTTATCCGTTATGGCCTTACACAAACACTCATCAGGGTCGGCATTTCTTCAGAATGTGATTCTCCATAGGTGGACACGCAGCCACTACTCAGTGAAAGCTCCAGCGACGGAAGTAGGAATTTCTGGGTCAGAGATGACAGTACCAGAAGCGCCAACAACCCTCAGTCACAAGCAGAAGTACAAGAAGGCGCATCTGGCACTGAACTCAGTTGCAACAATATTGGCCATAAACGTGCCGACAGGGGAGATGGAAAGCTGTGGAGAAACGACCTGTGCAACAATATGTGACGCCAGAGAAAAGCCATCGATCTATTGAGTCACTCGCAATAAAAAAAAATTGTGGAAAATAACTGCCACGGCCATTTTAATCTAAATCCAGCGTCATGTTGATGGTCGATAGTGCTTTGACTTCGGTCGAATAGGCCTTGTGACGTGTGAAAATTGAAATTATGAATCATGATGTAAATATGAATGAACATATCTATGACGTGTTGTCTCCTCTACGGTAAATGGTCATTTTTTGGCACACTGTTATCTCGTCACTCCCAAATTATGTGTGACGAAACGACTTCGCTTTAAGTTAAATATCTCTCCAAAATTGTTTTGTTGTAGAATTTTGGAGGATCAGCTTAAAGCTTTATTTGAAGTTATATAAATTATTACAATGTAAATTAAATCTTCGTCTGAACTGTTCCATAGTTGAACAATAGTTTAAATAAGGCAAAAACAATGTCTGGTAAAGAGTAAGTAAGGCTTTGTTTGAAAGAAAAGGTCTAGCTTTTAGCGAAATTGCAGTACCGTACATTTCTATTAGCTAATTTATTTTTAACAGAACTAATATGATCTTGCCAGTCACACCTCTCATCAATAATAATACCTAAACATATTTGGTTGATCCGACTCAATAGATTTCCATTGTCTATACATGATATATTTATTAACGGTGTAGCTGATCAGGAAGGCACTGCGACTTGCACAGCCCCAACCCTCCCCCTAAAATCGTGATATTTGCTATTGCCATGACAATGCTCGTTTGATGTTTGCAATGTGCTACAAAATGAGCGTCTCTATTTAACCTTGTGGATTTGGATTGTGATGTCTTGACTGCATCCGCGTGACGAAATAACTGGTATTTTCATCTATCATCAGGTTGAACAGTACAAAGATGTCTGGAGACTGTGAGGATATTCATAGCGTCCGCAAGGCACTCAAGCAGTGGGAGTCTGCCTTTTACATTGTGCACCGGAGGAAGCCTGATAGAGTTTGTTTTGAAATTCTTTTATCTAGGCCTAGGCTTATTCCCAATTTTTCTATTTTTGTTCTTTTAGTTTTAATAAAACCAAAACTTTCCGTTAGTTTTGAAAAAGTGAAGTAAGTACAAAATTGATGTTTTTGTTTCATTTAGTATTGGTCAAATTAATCCATTCAAAGCCAACTGGTCCAAAGTGTGTATTATTATAATACTTTGTTGTAAAAATGATGCTTTAACGCAAAACAGTATCAAAACAGGAACCACTCATTTGAAACAATATCTATTTGAGAACACAATTTTTTTTTTTGGGTGCAGGTTTGCTGCTTTTGTTAGCTTTTAGTGAATGGGGAAAATAATGAAGTTTCTGCATTGTTATTTTTCTCATGTTATATATGAAAGATGTAGAGGATTTTAAAAATATTGTGTATCTCTATAGATTTCAATTATAAATAACTAGATGTTTTTTTCCTCTTTCAGAATGATATCAATCAAGCTCCAGTTGATATTCAAGGTATTTGGTTTGTTCTCTCTTTTCATTTCAGTTAAATATATTTTGCAGACATGACAATGAATCAATTTAGTTGTGTAATTTTTTTAATAGATCGTTTCCAATGATGTAAAAATATTAGGGTTTTATCTTACAGTTGGTAAAAAACTGTAACAAAAATTATTATCTGGCTCATTTTGTTGTCTGAGGACAAAAAACGGTCGTCTTTCTTCTTGAGAGCAGCTGTAAGATGGTGTCCAGTGCTCATGCTAAATAATGAAGACATGGAACACCAAACAGACAACAGAATATTTACGAAACTCTGACTCTGTTCCTGTCTTTTTGTCTCTTTCACTCACATATGCACACATCTTCGCAGAGGGTACTGTTGTTACTTTGCAATTGATTTGTTTTCTCTTTTCATCAGATAAATATCGCCATTACAATGATTTGAAGAGAAGATCATCATCAAGTTCAAGTCAAGAGGTCTCACAGAAGCCTGTAAGTTTTTACTGCCTTGGTTTTGGGGCTTTTTTGTCTGCATATTTTGACAAATGTTCTCACTCCCAGTTTTATCTTCTTTGCAACTAGTTGAACAATAGACTGCCACTGCAGGGTGTGTTTTTTTCACATGTCCCATGCCAATTGGCGCTCTGGGTCAGAAAATGACATATTGATTGCACATGCACTGGGTCAATGGGCGCATTGTTAACACAGTTGCCCCACATGTCTTCTTTATTGCTGTAAAATTTCTGATCTCTGCGTGTAGTACATTTTGCGTACCAACTTAAAATTACCACCCATCCATTGATAAAACACTAGAGCTGGAAACTAGATCACAGATTCAAAATGCATGGGATTGGCTGCCTATAACTAAATAGGTCACAGATGACTTCATTGCTGGTTTTCCCGATACCGTTTTACTGAGTTTTAGAAGGGGTGATCGGTCGCTGTAAAACGATGTCATGCAATTCAACAAATTTAACGCAAATATTAGTACTTCAAGATCCTAAGTAATAAAGACATCGAAAAAGTGATAGCAGAACTAGATTCTGCTCTAAAAATCACATAAAGATGCCAAGTTTCTTTCATATAGATCTACTGTGTGTCTACTCAAATTCATTACTGACTTATGACAGTTTTTCCTCAAAATACCTCAAGACATGTCCCACTTTTTGGTGATATTTTTCTTTATGAAAGTCCCCCAAAATTTTGCAAACAAAAATCCTAATAACTTTTTAATTTATCAATAGATTTTTTAAAATTAAAAAACTAGTTCTTAGAATTTATTCTATTTTCATTTAAGCCTGTTTTTAAGCAATTTGGATAAAAATTTAATTTTTCATTGTCATTGCTAGTCAAAGGGAGGGCTGGGATGGGAATTTCAAGCATCACAAGCAGACATTGTTAGTAAGTCATTAATCCACTATTTCTCTGTAAAACTCTTACATGACATGTACAAAAACAACTGAGAACAACTCTCCATGCATGTTGCCTACAAACTTGACCCATCATTCACAAGATTGACCCATTGATTTTGGCCTGAGTGGGTCAATTGACCTGTAGTCATTCATAGCAAAAATGAACCCTGCCACTGACTGATGTGTGTTTTGAGAAAGGTCACAGTAGATGATTTATCGTGATGTGTCCTTGCCCCTCATATATTCCTGACTAGCTGGACCCCCTTTCGATGAAAGGAATAATGGGTGCATTAACAGCAACTGAAAGTAATTGGGCTACTATATTTACACTCTACTGGAATGGAGCAATAAATCTTGAGAGATGCAAAAAATTAGGTCTAGATCTATATTCTCTAAACCAAATGTGCCTAGCGAAAAATCACTTCCGGCACTACTGCTGTGAAAGACAGCCATGGAGATTTTTTTCGTTTCTCAGTGGAATAATCACAAAGGCCAAAGAAGGACGGGAACTTTTTGTCAAATATATTTGTCTAAATTAAGGAAATGAATAAATGAAAAATCGTGCTCCGTCATGGGGACCTACCTTTTTGCAGGCATTTGCCAACTTTCCTCTCTGTAGCTGTCGTAGTTTATGGCAAAAGTGACACATATGTGTTTTCAAGTTGCCAAATATATAATAGATGACTGTTTGCCTATCAGGTGTGTGTGTGTGTGTGCGTGTGTGTGTGTGCATGCCTGAATATTGTTCGTACATGCATTTATGTAAAGCGTCTAGAACTGTGTTCCCAAGGAAGTGGGCACTATAGAAATGATCTATTTTATTATTATTATTGTAAGACTTCAGCCCTATCTGCCAATATATCCCCTCCTCTGTTGATACTGGGCTTTAGTTCCCTGTCTTTGGTTCCCTTTTTCATGCTTGATAAACTTGAAGTGATTTTTGTGACTGGGACATGACATTTTTTGTTTGTTTCCTTGTTAAGGCCCTGATTCAAATGAAAATAACTTGGAAATTCAAATCAGCTTTGGACTTTCTATCTCTGAGATTTGTACACCTTTTCTTTAAGTCTGTGGAAAATTTTACCTGAATGGCACAAACTTAGCTTTTTTGTTAATACTAATTGCACCTACTTTAGAATATGATCGTGATGAAGGTTGATCCAAGGTGTCCCATTGTTGCTAATGAATTGACTTCTGTCGTGTCGATGTGCTTCTCTCAAGCAGTTACTTTTTTAAATGGCTGACTGTTTGCCTAGAATGGTTACTTCTTTCCATTTTGTCATTCTGTTTTGTATCTTTCAGACCACATCCAAGGATGACAGTAGTGGCGGCGTGTGGGGCGTGGAGTTGAACAAAAAGCCGGTGACCACGGACTCTGAGACTTCTTCTACTGGTTCCAAGAGTGACTCCTTACACAAACTGGGTGCAAAGCTGTTTAAAAGTTTTGAAAAACAGGCATGCCACACGGCCTCGCACGAGCACAGAAACAACAAAGGACTAAAGGTGTGGTGGCAGTGTGCGACGCGATACAATAATGTGTTTCTACGTTTATCCCTGTCAGGCTGTGTTCCTGTTTTTTTCAGGCACACACAACAGGCTTGCCAGCTATCCTAAATTTCGCGGGACTGTCCTGGATTTGGCATTCGGGAATCTGAGAGCCTTTTTTTTACATATATTCTGAGAGCATTTTTTTTTTTTTAACATAAACTGAATTTCTTTTTCACATAATCTGAGAGCCTTTTTAAATAATCTGAGTCTTTTGTACATATATTCTAAGAGCCTCATCTGAGAGTCTTTTTGACATAATTTGAGAGCCTTTCTTTATATACGCTACACTCAGTAACACTGCATCAGAACCAGTCCCACTTGATGTAATTTGGTTAATTGACATATAATCTGATGTTTTTATGTTGGATGTCCCTTGTTGGGGTTTGAAAATGTTGGCAAACTGTGTATACACATTCAGCTAAGCTGTATTCTCAGTTTTCCGATAATAAGCAACTGTTTTGGGAAAATAAGACCCTGCATTTAAAAGATAAACCTATCAGGTCTAAACTCCACATTGTTTCAGGAAATGGCGATTGGAAAAGGTACTCTTAGAATATAAGTACAGTGTTGTTTTCTTGTGAAAAAGATCTGGTGATGAATAAAAGAGAACCCCCTTGGTAGGGTAGAAGGCAAGGTTTGAACTTTTTACAGTACATTTGCTTGATGACTTGTCTAGTAATGAAGACAGCTTAGATAAAAATTATGTCATGATAATAATAATAGATAGCATTTGTATAGCGCATATCCCCGCTCAACAGCAGGCTCTAAAATATTAATAAAAATATTATTAGTGGTAAAAGTAGTGATGATGGTATTGATGGGGATTCAAATAGATTTAGTTCTAGGGTCTTGATCTAGGGTTGGAAGAAGGGGTTGTGGTCTCATAACAGTCATCAGTGATGTGGATGGGAAATCACAGTTAATTAATTTATAATTTATAAAGCATGCAAATTAATGTTGGGTAAAGTATTATGTTAAGGTCCCATATGTTTCTGTTAATTTTTTCGCTTGTATAGTATTCAGCACTTTTGAAATTCATTTGCATTCTTGCTTACTGGAGCTCAGGTGTTTTGGTCATTTAAGATCAGGAGGTTAGGTCTGACAGGGTGAAATGAAAGCTAGTTTGAGCAATGGAGAAGAAATGTGTTTTTTTGTTTTTTTTTCATTTTCCCAATAATTTTCAGTTTGTTATATTTATCTTATTGTTTGAAATCGTTTCCTTTTGTTTTTCTTTCTGTCTAATATGTTTTAAAAAATTGAAAAATTTTCTTTTAACCTAGTGGCTGTGGAAAAATTTTTTTTTAATAGTATCTACTAGTAGGGGTAACACAAAGTTCATCCTTTCTTTTTCAATTTGTGTGAAAGTAGCATTTCTTCTAACCCACTTTGTTACTTCAAAAGTTGTATTACATCTCTTTTTTTTTTTAAACGGATATTCATTCAGCAAATTTTCTCATTCAATTTTACAACTGAACTTACAAAAAGCACTTAAAGCAGATTGATTAAAAAAGTGTTCTTTCCTTTTTTTCCCAGAAGAGTTTGTCCCGTACCTTGCCACAAGGCACTGCAAGTGGCAGCAAAGAAAAACAAGCAGCAGTTGATGATCGAAATTCATTTGGCAAAAGTTCAAGTTCAAATGTTTTGCCTGTTGCAAATGACAGAAGCCAGCCTACAGTTGGAGACGCAGGTGGTGATGATGTCTGCAGTGATGACTTTGTGATAAAGAGTGGGATCTTTGGAGCGGCGGGGAAAGCTTTGAGTTTGAGTAGTAGAGAAGCTTCTAGAAATCAGAAACCTCACTCAAAGCCTCGTCGTTCTTTTCTGACTGCTTCTGTGAAGTTGAGGCCTGAAGATACTGATGAAAGAGGATCTACGCCATCAGAAAATGTGGAGGAAAATTTCAAATTTCAGAAATATGACGTGGATAATGATAATGAATTCATAACCAGTTCGTCTGCAGGTGGTAGTTCAGGGAGTTTTAGGATGGTGACTTCAAACTTGGATAAATCTCAAATTAGCAATTCACGTGAAAAAAGTGGTGAAAATAATTCTTCAGATGGAAAAAGTGATATATTTTCCAGCATTAAGAATGTGTCTGTTACCCCGAAAGATCTAAATTTAGATGTGTGTCCTGAGAAATTTGTCAGTGCTGTGCATAGTAGTGCTGTTTGTTCCAAGTCTTTGGATAAAATCTCTACTGCTGAAGAAAGTCTTGACGCTGTTTGTAATGCGGAGAGTCGCCTGAAAACTTGTGAACGTGTAACACAGAAGACGAAGGTGCATACTAATTGGATTACCAAACGTGCTGCTGACAGTAATGAGTGTAACATGGTAGAACCTGTGGATACACTGGTTCATACGTCTCGACAAACCAGAAAGCGCAAAAACAGTGGTGATGAAAGGCAAACTGCAGATGGACCAGTTCATGAAAATTCCACTCCAGGGTGTGGCAAGTCTGTTCAAGAAGAGGTGAGCCAGATTGTTTCGATCATTGTAATATATAAATATATAAAAGTTTCTTATTTAAAAGAAAATCACTCTTAGTTTAGTACAGGGTTTTACGGTGCTCGCAACTGCATAAGGTCACATGAGCGCTAAGGGGTGGATGTCAACAGAAAAGTCTTTACAGGGAATCAGACTTACTCTGCTCACCTCTCTAGCTTCAACAGCACAAAGTCTGCTTCGACTATCAAGGCACCCTGGAAATAGCAGGTCACAAGAGTGTGACAAACATACAAAAGAAGTAGAGGAAAATGACGATAGTAAAGATAAGGAAAGAAAAAACAGCAGTTCCCTGTTGTAGTTCAGGCACAGTTATGAGCGTGACGTGGTTGGATCAGTCCATTTACAATTCTACTGTGCATTAGAACGAGAAATGTCCCCTCTTTGGGAATGGCCTAAAGACACTTCAGTCAGTGGCACCGCCCCGGGGGGTGGAAAATTACTCTGTAAAAATGTTATTTTTATGAGTACGTTTAACACATTAACTTTAATATAGAAATGAAAAACTCTGGTACAACCAACTACGGTAGAGAGCTTTGAGAGCAAAATATATGTTGTTACCCCCGTTTTACAGCAGCTGAGATCCTTAGGCTTTAAAGAGGAATACTACTTCGAATGTATGAAATGTTCATCACCTTGATTCTTTTCCTTGACAAATGATTGTGTTGGTAAAAAGTTAGATAGAAGACACTGTTTAATTCATTTGGTTCGACTTTCATGATCAGGATTAGAATATCTTGCATTAAATACATATTCTGAAGAATAATATACAAAATAATTATGATGCCTTTAGAGACTGTCAGTCAGAATAATCTTTAAGAAAAGGCATCTTTTCCGTTACAATTTATTTAGTAGAACATAACTGAATTTTTAGAACTTCACCATATTCATATTTCTAACTGGAACACTCATTCTCTAATTCTTACTCTTTGGAGTACTCCTTATAAAGAATTATAAGCACTGATAGAGAAATCATTAATTCTAATAGAAAATATGTTCTCTAATTTTCTTACATTGATTTGTCAAAGGATTCACATCTGGATATACCTGACTCAAGTGGTGCGGGGAGCTCTAAAGTGAAGAAAAAAACAACTGCAGCAGCATCAGCAACTCGGTGAGTGTCAAGTCCTTAAACAGCAATGAATTTTTGGACGGTTAACATTTTATCTCTACAATACCACCACTGCAATACCACCACATTGCAAGGCTGAAGACAGGAACATTTATTGCAGGGGTCTTCCACTACTACTAGTAGTTTGCAAGCCAGACATGGTGTGCTAACAGTACAGATATAGAGACTTTCCCTTCAAAGCAAAAGAACAAAAAAAGAACAATTAAGTGTTTAAAATTTGTGTGGAGTTAAGTATCAGGGAGGTGCAGACATTCCTTGCATCACTTTTTACTTTTCTTTTTAGGCAAAGTGAGAACTGGTCAATCCTAGAATTAACCAGACCACAGACCATGCTTGTTCTTTTTCCTCATCTCCTTTCCCCTGACCCACAATTTTTTTCACTTGGTAGGATCCCTTGTGTGCACACTGATTCTTAACATTTGCTCAGAGCAGACTCAGCTCAGCAGTGGAAGCAAGATCCTAAGGAGAGGGTCAGCAGTTTTACTATTTTTATTTCACCTGGTGTTACGGGATGTTCGATATATATAAATATACATAGCAATGGAAAACAGTAAGTTTTCTATAGTCAGTGGAAAGAAACATAAAAGCCATCCAGAAACAGTTCACCATCCCTTAGTCTTTTAGAGACTAACGTTGTTACATTGCCTTGACCTACTACACTCGACTTTCAAGAAACTGATTGGAGTGTGACACTTTAGTTTATAAAGGCAGTTGAATGCCTTAGTTTTATTTCAGGCAAAACGGATTTTTGTCTCTTACTCTTAAGGCTCAAAGCTGGAAAATGTAGTGGCAAAAGTACCTCACAGTTTGAAGAGTTATATGACCATACACTGTATGCATGAAAATGGCAAAAGATATTTATATAATCTTAACTCTTTCAGGTTTAGTAAGTGACTGTCTTAACTCTTTAAACCCCATCGGACGCTGGGAGCATCCGGCGGTAATAACCCTGTTCCCCATCGGACGCCGGGAGCATCCAATACCAGTGACAACTGTTTCGTTTTATCTAGTACTAGTTTTTGCTAGTTTTTCGGAACTATTCCCGATCCAAGTATTTTTATAATTATAATCACTAAGCCTTTCTTTTCGTAGAAGTTGGAGGAAAGCGTACAGGGTTATAATGAGACAATAGTGCACCAGGTTTAGGTGACTAGAAAAAACACAGGGAAACAGTGGAAAAAACTCAGGGTTTAAAGAGTTAAGTTTTGTTCAATGAAAGAGAAATATATATATATATATATATAATATTATTAGTCCGTAAAGAGTAAAGGTCTGTTAGTGAAAGTGTTAAAGATATTGCACAGTATTGCCGTTAAGCTGTGATGCATCTAGGCAAGAGAACAAAAGGTGGGCCTGCGTCAAAGTATGTTTTCATCAGAGCTTGGCTTATCTGTCCTGTCCAGATGCTGGATAGTTAAAAAGCAGTCCCTTTGGTTCATCATCATAATAATGCTAGGGTACACATGTCCAAATAACTGCTTTACCTTTTTTTAAAATTGAGTACATGATGTATCTTTGTTTTCTCAGGAAACGCTCCGCAGCCTCAATGAATGAAAATTATGTCTGTCTGAACATGAAAAAGAAAGGATATCGCAGGAAAGGTAATTTTGCAGTCATTGTGCACAGAGCATTTTCTGATTTTCGGGACGGTTTAATCATTATATTTTCTTAGTTTGATAATGTAGAAAATTTGATAATTTTTCAAGTGCAGTACTTATTTACATACCTGGGCTTTTGGTCCTGTTACAAAATGAAAGTGGTTGGTAGAGATATAAGTGCTTAAACTGAAAATTTTCAATACAGTTTTTTTATTTTAGCTTGTATAATTTTTGAGTGTTTGATGATGAAAAATATTCTTCAAAATTTCTAATTCACCATTTCTTCTGGATTGATAGAGGACCAAGTTGATACCGTAATGTTACGTGTAATTTTGGTAACAGAAGTAGAGCTGCTGTAAGATATTTAAAAAGTAATGAGAATGATGTCACATGTATTATAATAAAAAAAAAAATCATATTTCTCAATTTAAAGAGCCCAAGGGCTGCTGGATATATAAAATTGAAAAACCCTCAGTTGTAATATCAGAATGTGAGTCTCTTATTGTCGTATTGTTTACTGAATTAACAGGTTAAACATATTAATATACAGTTAAAATTTAGAAACTCTTTCTGTTGTTAAAAATCTTGAAATTCACACATGCTGAAATCAGGGCTGGGTTGATTTAAATCAGGTTGATTTAAATCAGTTGATTTTTTAAATTTAAATCAACTTGATTTTTAAAATAAAAATCAGTGATTTAAATCACTTAAAATTTTTTAAATTTATATTCAGTTTTTACATATTTCAACATTCAGAAGTCCTTTCCTTGGTTTCATAAAACAGATATATAAGGTTTAGTACACTAATATAATCATGCTTAAAAGTCTGCTTTCTCTGTAAAATAATACAGTATTCAATTTACTTTTTCCCCCCATAATTGAAATCAGAGCTGGGTTGATTTAAATCAGTTGGTTTTTTAAATTTTAATCAACTTGATTTTGTGATTTAAATCACTTTTTATAAAATGTATTCTGTTTTTACATATTTAAACATGCAGAATTCCTTTCCTTGGTTTTATTAAACAGATGTTTAGTAGACTAATATAATCCTGCTTAAAAGTCTGCTTTCCCCCCTGTCACTGTAAGTAGTAAATTAATATAGTATTCAATTTACTTTTTTTTTCATAATTGAAATTAGCATTTTCTTTTTTTTTTTTTTTTAGACAAACACAAGCGCGCACACACACACACGCACACTGTAATAAAATAAAAGTTTTTCTATACATAATAATCCCCTCTCCCCCTTTCCTTTTAAACTGACATTTTCTTCATTTTTTGTCTGTAGCCATAATTCACTGATAATAGCAGATTGAGGCTTTCTTTTGCAGTTGCTTAAATTAATCATTAGTTAAAATAAAGACAATGCATTCTGCACTAAAAGAACATACTTTTAGCCACCAAAAATCCCAAACTGTCGACATTTAAAAAAAAAAAAAAAAAATCAGATTTAAATTAAAAAAATCTGATTTAAATTTAAAAAATCGATTAAAAAAAATTTTTATTTAAAAAAAATCAAAAAATCACCAACCCTGGCTGAAATATATTTAAGTTTAACCCTATCTGTACATCGTGTTTCACTATCGTATCCATACGACGTGGGGAACTCTGTGCCACCACTTTCAAAGAGGAAATTTACTCGTTAATCCGATCCGTACGTTTTGCATATAACGTCAAAATGATTTTTTGAGAAATTTTGAAAGTTTCAAAGTGATCTTCGTACTAGAAGTATTGTAAAATGAGAAGAATACTACCCCGGGGTTACAAAATGACCCCGTGGCGAACGGATAAGGGTAAAGCATTGGATTTGACCATTACTGAAATATTTGAAATGAGAATGTCACATGGCTCTGTTTATGGGGCATTGTTAAGCTAATTTGATTTGAAAATATGGCAGGTGTCCTGGACCCAGCCCTTTGAAAGTTTGTTTGGTAGTGCCTTTAGCAGTGTTTTAAAATAAAACAACTCCCCCAAGGCAGTGCCACTGACTGAACTGTCATTCTCAAAGGGGGGATACATGTTCTTATGCATAGTAGAATTGTAAATGGGCTTTTATATCAATGTCATGCTCATACTGTTCCGGAACAACATGGGGATACTTCTGCCTTTTCCCCCCTCATCCTTACTATCGTCATTTTCCCTCTACTTCTTTTGTATGTTTGTCACTCTCTTATGAACTGCTATTTACGGGGTGCCTTGATAGTCGAAGCTGACTTTGTGCATTTGGACTTCTCTGTTGACATCCATCCCTTGGCACTCATTTAACCATATGCAGTTGCGTGTGTCGTAAAACCTTAATAAAACTAAACAAAAATAAAACACTTGGTTTTTATTTTGAATAAAACTGGGGAGTTTGATTGTAAAGAAATTAAAGAAGACATATTTGAAATATGATTTTTATGCATTGTCTTTTTAATTTGTTAATGATAAGACTGTTTTGAGAGAGCTGCAAGCACAGTTAATGATATTATATATTTAGACTGTGTTGCCGTACAGGCGGTAATGATTGCAGTCCGAAACAGAGCATTTTTTATCTCTGAATTAAAAAAGTTTTCATGCTTTGCTGCTGATTTGGCTCAGTTTTGTGAAATTGTTCAATGTACAAACTTTCTGCTTCTTTGTGAAAGACTTTAATTACTTTTTAGACTAAACTTTTATTTAATGGCCTTACTGTATCGTGACTATTTCCTTTTCTTTAAGGAGCGGGCATGACTGGGTCACAGCTGAGAAAGAAACAGTGGAAGGCAAAGATGGCGGCCAGGAGCCAGAGCTACGGCAGCAACAAATGCTTCAAGTGTGGGCAGGAAGGACATTGGGCCAACAAGTGTAAAGGTGATGACCCTTACATTTTGAGCACTGGTCACACGGCATCATGGGTAAAAGTTTGCCTGCTGTGGCTGGAAATTCTGGCTAGAGAAAGGATCATGGTGTCCTTGACAGGACTAGCATCGATCTTGTGAAGCAAAGGTTTCTTTCGTTTACCTGACAAGTGTCTTAAAAAGTCCGGCTTTTTAAACGCCACCGTTCGAGTTCTAGCATAAATTGACAGTACTTGGGTGATTTGATGATTTTTTTAGGCAAAAAAAAGCCCCTTGAGATACTATGAGTTTGAAAGTTTTCAGGCAAAAGGGTTTTTATCAACTTTTACCCATGCATGGGTTTTCCAGTGGAAATAAATAAGAGTATTGGGGTTGAAACTTTTTGTTTTGTTTTTCAAGGAGAATGATTATACAGTAAAACTCTGACAATCAATAATATATGAATTTCACGGAACCTAGAGAATATTTCTGTGTTAGAGGAAGTTGCGCATAGATAGCATAAAGGGGGGGGGGGGGGGGGAGTTTAAGCCTTTCATGATCACAGAATTTTCATTGTAAACAGTCCAATAATAACCTGTCTCATTTTTCAGTCTGTGTTAATTCCTCAATTTTAATAACAGTTATAACTCTTGAAATTATGAACTCCCACTTTAGGTTAAATAACAAGTCTCGCCTTGCATTTTAAGAGTTTTATAGAATATAAACACTACACACAAATACCGCAAGTAAAACACTTTATTTTTGTATATATATATATATATGGAGCCGAGTTGCTTCAGTTTATTGCTGTCAGGACCTTTTGATTGACACAACTTTTAAAAACTTGATGTAAAACTGTTGTTTGCTCTGCCCTCTGTCCTACTGGATTTTTTTTTACCGAGCTTTGTGACCTTGATAAATGCTGTTTATTTTTTGTATGGGATTTTATTACGTTATTGTCAAACGTTTTCTGTAGACGTAGACGTAGTCTAAACAGCCGTATGCACTGCTCACCGTCGAACGCTCCGTATCCCGGACTCTAGCATGGAGATCATCAGGAGAGAATGCGTCGCTGTTTCGGGCTCTTCCTCTCTACAGCTTTTCTGACGCTCCGAGCCCCCTCACCGATGTGAGGTCTCCATGTTAGTTCGACTGTTTTCCTCTGCTGCCAACTTTAGGATTCATTCCAGCTTGAGTCCTCTCGCTTCAACCAGATCCAATGACTGGCTTTCTCTGCTGTCTCCTGAAGGGAGTTTGTGAGTTCGTTGCTTTTCTTTGCAGTAAGTCCTGCCACTCTCATCCACTTACGGGCGCTTGTTGCTACAAAACCTCTGCATCCTACCTCTACCGGAAAATGGGTTGCCTTCCATCCTGCCTCCTCACATTGTTCGACGAGTGCCTCGTAACGGTTTTCTTTCCGCTCATGAGCGGCATAGATATTGTCCTCGTGGGGCACCGTGAGCTCTACCAAGTGTACCTCTTTGTCTTTTTCCTCCCATAACACAATGTCTGGCTTTTTCGTAGTTGGAATGGGGAAGAATCTCTCAAAGCCTTTTAAGTCAGCAGCTACTTCCCATGTGCCTCCGCTCTGGTCTTTCATGGCTTCGTTCGCTTTCTTTCTTTTGGCAATCTTGCTTCCTTGCGGAACGAACGCAATCTTGGTGGGTCCATGCTTCTGTATCTTGGGGGCATATTTTCCTTCTTCCACCTGTTGTGTCGCCATTTTCGTGAGCACTTTCAACACCTCGTTGTGTCTCCAGGTGTATCTGTTAAGAGCTAGGTTGCAGTTTGACAAAATATGCTTCATGGTTCCTAGCTTACCGCATCTACACTTGTTGTCCTCCTGTACCTTCCATCTGACAAGGTTCACCGGTGAAGGCAGAACATCATACGTAGACCGGAGAAGAAAGCTCAGCCTTGATGTATTCCACTTCCAGATGTCACTCCACCCGACTTTTCTTTCCACTACATGCTCTTCCCATCTGGTCATTTGTCCTTGCTGGCTACACTGGATGAGATGAATTTCTCGCCTCTCTGCCTCCATCTTTTGCATATGTCTTGTTGCAGCTTTTCTTCTGTCTCGCTGAGACATTTTCCTGAAAGGTCTAAAGTCGCCATTACCTAGCCCTAATCTATCAGGTTGCGCTGGACCGACAATGTCCCCATGCTCCAATGCAGAGATGAGATCTCGTTAGCTGCAACTTCTGCCTTCCACTTTCTGGCTGTTTTGACATCTGGAGGTTTTCCACTGATCTCCTTATCCCTTGATTCTCTCAACATCAAAACGGTTCTAATCTTGCCTGCTTTGTAGATCTCCACAATTGACGTGAGAGGTAGTTGAAGCGCACCTCTATGTCTGTACAGGGATGACGTGTTAATGGTACGGGGTAGCCCCAGCCACTTCCTGATGTAGCTGTTACACTTTCTTTCGATCATCTCAACTCTTGACAAAGCAACTTCATACATTGTCAGTGGCCACGCCAATCGAGGGTAGAGGGCAAACTGTAGACACCATATCTTGTGCTTTCCTGGAAGCTTTGTCTGGTCAATTGCTTTCAGCCCATTTTCAGCCTGCTTCATGATTTCCACGCCTTGACTCCTATCAGACAGAGTTCCTGAGTACCACCGACCCAAACTTTTCACGGGTTGTTCTTTTACTGTGGGCATTTGCTCCCCTGCAATTGTGAACTTCAGTTGCTTCTGTTTTCCTTTGTTAATAGTCAGGCTTCTTGACTTTTTAGCTTTAAACTTCATCCTGGCCCAGGTGATAAGCTTATCGAGCCGATTCAACACACTTTGCATTGTGTCTCCATCTCTTGTCAGTAGGGTCACATCATCCATAAAGGCTTTCTTTGGTGATCTCACCTTTGCTTCTTCTTCACAGCATTCTGCAGATCTCAGTAGCATCTCCATTACCAGGATGAACCAGATGACCGATATAGAGCAGCCAGCTGCAATCCCAATCTCTAGTCGGTGCCATTCCGTTGTGAAATTTGCGGTTGAGAATCGCATCTGGAAGTTACTATAGTATTCTCTCATAATGTTTTGCACCTCTTGTGGGACGTAGAAAAAATCCATTGCCTTCATCAGCAATTTATGGGGAACAGACCCGTAGGCATTCGCCAGATCCAACCACACTACGTTTAAACTTTCCTTGTTTTTCTTGGCCTCTTGGATTGTGTCCCAAATGGTGAAAGCATGCTCGATGCAGCCTGGGATCCCTGGTACCCCGGCTTTCTGTACCGTTTCATCCACATAGCCGTTACTTTGCAAATATGCTACAGTCCTCTTTGCAAGTATTCCCATAAAGATCTTGCACGTCACGTTGATGATTGAAATAGGTCTGAACTGTCCTATCTCCTTTGCATTCTGTTCTTTGGGTAGATACACGCCCTCCGCTCTGCACCAATCTTTGACGATTTCTTTGTCTTTCCAAAGGCCTCTTAGCATCTCAAAGAGGGTGTGTCTCAGCGTGTCGCAATACTTGAACACCTTATAAGACACGCCATCTCCTCCAGGTGCACTTTTTGCTCTTGCTTTTTTTACGTACTCATCTACTTCTTTCTCTCTAATTGGTCCCAGGTAATATTTGACGACGGGGGCAGCTGGACGCTTCAGGCCTCTCATATAAGGAAGCGGTTCTTCTCTTCTTGAATCGCTGTACGTCTGCTTAACATAAGCATCGAGTTCCTCTTTCGTACATTCCAATTTACCACTCCGTGCCTCTGTGAACAGTTTTTTGGCTGCTTCATAAGGATTCTTCAGAAATTGTTCACGTTCCCTTTTTCTCTCTTTTCTCCTGGTACACTTTCTTTCGTGCCTCTGTAGGTCTCTGCTCTTTTTCTTAAGATCTTCAAACAAGATTCTTAGGCCTTCTATCTCTTCTGGTGGTGCGTACTTTTTCTGCTTTTGCAAGTCTCGTTTCTGTTTTCTTAGCTGTGCAAGTACTCTCTGCCTTCTACTCACTACTTCTACTCTGCATCCTACCTCTACCGGAAAATGGGTTGCCTTCCATCCTGCCTCCTCACATTGTTCGACGAGTGCCTCGTAACGGTTTTCTTTCCGCTCATGAGCGGCATAGATATTGTCCTCGTGGGGCACCGTGAGCTCTACCAAGTGTACCTCTTTGTCTTTTTCCTCCCATAACACAATGTCTGGCTTTTTCGTAGTTGGAATGGGGAAGAATCTCTCAAAGCCTTTTAATAACGAATTTATTATTTTATTTAGTGTTTTATTGTAATGTTGTTTTCTGAATGTTTTGCCTCTTTGGAGCATTTTGAGGAAATCAAGATCTGAAAGGGGGAAAAGTACTAGGGCAATCTGCTGCTTTATGTCGATCATCCAGGCCAGGCAAAGCTGTATCATGCACAATGTTTTAGGCTCTCCTGTCCATGGGGCAAAAGGCCATGCATATTAATGTTTTAAATCGGGACTTACCTAAAACTATTATTTAGTCATATACGTCAACTTGTCCATTTATATGTCCTAGGCAAGGCGAAAATGGGAAAGGACCTGGATCCAAGTCAAGTGGATAAAAGCTCCGTGGATGAGGCAGACTTTCCCAGTCTCCGAGAGGCTGCGATGATGAGCTGTGGAGTCAAAGGTACCAACACAGCAGGGATATCTTGTCTTTTTTCTCGACTGAGATTTCTTTGCTCATGAATGTTCTGTTATTTACCCCATACCAACCTCTCTTCCACTCAGCCGAAGGTGTCAAGCTCCCATTTATGTATGAGTAGATAACTTTTGTTTGGAAGCTAATTTTTAGGGATTCTGCTTTTGTGGAAGTAACAGGATTATTTCTGAGTACTGGGTTGTACACATTTCAAGATTAATGAATCACTCTTTATAGTTTCTGGAACTGTGAAGCGCGTCTGTGATAATGTTATTTATTGTGGGTTGTAAATTTTTAATCTCTCCTCCTTTCTCTGCTTAACTAAAGCTTTTGTCTCTCTCCATCTCTTGGCTTTTGAACAGTTCGCATCTTCAGCTCTTTGTAACTGACGACAGTCCCTTTTCTGATCTTGCCGCTTTGTCTCGTTGCCCACACTCAAATTCAGACTCCGGATAAAGTCTCTGCGGGAGACAGTTCTGAAGTTAAACTCTCCCACCCCAACAGAAACTGCAACCTCAAGTCGTGGACCTGTGTTGCTAGAATGTGTTTTGGGCATCATGCCCAGAGGACTAAATGAACACTTTGTTTTGCATTTTGAGCTGTTTGTAGGACACAGCGGAGAGTAGGTCCTCACGAGACATTTACTCGTACAGAGGTTTATCTCACTGACTACCAACATTTTTGGGGGCACCCGGCCCCTGAAACCACTATTTCGGAGGTATTTTTAAAAAATCACTGTGACCATAGGCTTGCCCTTACCTTTCCCTTAGCCTTTTCCTGTTTGCACAGTAGAACTAGCACTGCGGGCCTTTTTTGACTTTGGTTCCACGTATTCAGGGTCTAAATCACTATCAGAATAGTCAAACGTGAAGATTCATCGGATTCATTGAACACTTCAAAGATATTCGCTCTAGCAGACTGTTGACGTTTTGGTCGAGAGGACGCCATGTTGCTGACTGAAGAGTGACTTTAGGAAACAGTTCACTAAAAAAAATACCTCTCGCGCTAGAGAGCAGGAAACGGTCTCAAATTAAAGGGAAATGACTCATGATTTAATACCGCGTGCCGTTCTTACCACAGTGGCTACCCTTTAGCGGGAAAAAAATTCCAAATATGCTTGCGCCAAGGCAAGGTGGCACGAATGGGAGCTAGGCGTCAACAGAAAATTTGTGCCACACTAGCACGAACGGTAGCCAGTGAGTTAATGACTTCTGCTATGGGCTGGTGTCTCTTGGTGTGGTGGTGGAAGGAGCACCACAACTCATTTTCATCTAGTGGTGTCGGTGGTCTAGTGGTTAGGCTACAGGACTAGTAATAGTACAGGGAGATCGCGTGTTTGGGGGTTCGAGCATTAGCTCTGTCCGATGCTGTGTCATTGGGAGCACTTTACATGAATTTCCCATTTGGCTTGGTCCTTTCAAAGATGGACTCAGAGCTCCCACCTCTTAAATAATCTAATATTTTTTAACAGCAGGGCTGCCAACCATTCCGATTTTTTCTTAATCACAACGGTTTTTTAGCCTTACTACGAAATTCCGATCCAGGACGGCAACCCAGAAAACACTCTACCTCCCCCGCAAGGAGGAGTCAGAGTGTTTCTTAGAAGCTGGGGCCTTTGAGCTCCAAAATAAAAACTAAAAAGTCATAATGGCGGTCCTGCTATAGAATGTTGTCGGAATCCGACCTTCCATTGCAGAATTGCAACACTTACAGGCCACACTATGCCCACGTGTGGCCTGTATACAAGAAACAAAATTCGCCCCGGCTTCAACCATAGATTTAAGAGGATTTACTGCGTATCATCACATTCACACGGAGAACCAGATTGTTTCCGGTGGTACCACCATCTACACCGACAACAACACACTCCACAGACAAGTACATCTTAAGACGACCCTCCAGGCTATTGCCATACGGGTCACCCTGCACAGACCAATCACGATCTGCTCAGTTTATATCCCACCAAATTACCCTCTCAAAATAACCCAACTAAATGACTTAAAGGCTCAGCTTCCAAAACCCTTTATTGTGCTAGGTGATTTCAATGCCCACAGCCCCCTTTGGGGAGACAAACCTACAGACCAGAAAGGAAAAATAATAGATTTTTAAAATTTCAAAATAACATCTGTCTCTTAAATGATAGGTCCCCAACTTACAGAAACAGAGCCTCTTATGGCACTTCATCCCTTGACCTCACCTTTTGTACCCCTGACCTGGGACTTCGCTAGGCCCACCTGTATCAGTCAATGTGCGTAGTGCAGGGCCTGGCCGACTGCCAGCGCCCCCTTTTTCTCCCGTCGGCTTTCTGGGCACTTTCGTTTTCGTGCCGACTGCTGACGTCGGCGTTTCCGACATAATTGTCGGAACCTGAGTAGAAATGCGAAGACGAAAAAGGACGACGACCTAAATTATCTACTTTCAGTTTCGTGCTCGAGCGGCCATTTTGAATTTCGTTTGTTGACTCATTCAAGTCCGACTCACTTTTAATAGAATCTAGATCTAGATTTATATAGATCATTATAGACCTCAATGGAGGATTCATATTTCAATTCTATTGTGTCAAACCCTATCATAGGTTGTGCTGTAATATTAATGTTGGTTAAAAGCATTTCATCAGGTGCGTGAATTATAAATTTAGAATCTAGATCTAGAGACATCTAGATAATCTAGATGTAGATCTAGATCTAGGCTCAGCTGAGTCCCTCTGTTCGGAAGCGGATGCGGATTTCTAGTTCAAAGCCTATTCCTATTCACTTGTTCTACATTTATTTAGATTACTAGATCTAGATCTATGGAGGATTCATATTCCAATTCTATTGTGTTACTGTATCAAACCCTTTTATAGCAATGTAGATGTAGGCCATATTATGCTCCTTGTTTGTTTTGGAGTGTAGTTTTTTAAATTTTTATTTTTTTATATTTTTTCATTTTGGACTTGTGCTGGCCTTTTTACACGAGGTCCGTTGCAGTTTCTTTTTTGGGGTAGGGTTAGGTTTAGGTCTCTTCTGTGTTTGTTGGGGTGGGGGCTCGTTACTCGGACGTCCTTCCTTATGACACCCACAAAAGTTCTTATGGGGGGGGGTTGCGCAAAATTTTCAGACAATCTGGTTGAGGCTCACACATGCAGGTCTACGTACGGACCATTTCCCAATTCTTCTAAAAAAACCAATAGCCTCCACGACCCGGTCCCAGAACGCTTCAACTTCAAAAAAGCAGACTGGAACGGGTTTGCCAATCAATGTTCCCAGATTCTGAACCCCACTTTCGACCTCAACTACAATAAATTCCACGTAAAGCTTTTAGAAATATGCCAAATACACATATCGAAAACAAAAACAAAACCCCGGAGAAACAAGATCTGGTTCTCTTGGGAATGTGAGGATGCAGTAAAGAAAAAGAAGACAGCGTATCGAAAAGCTGTCAACAGCACCACCACAGAAAACAAGATAAACTATTTAAAGGCTCGAGCTGCGGCATGTAGATGCCTCAGGGAGAGCAAAAGACAATCATTCAAAAAAATACTTCTCCAAAATCAACAGCCAGACACCACTCAACCAAGTTTTCAAAATTGCTAAAAAATTCTTGGGTAGACGCACAGACACCATTCGGCACGTCCAGAGGCCGGATGGAACCACAGCTGAAACACAAGTAGACATCGCAAACACAATAGCTACATCTCTCGCCAAAAACTCATCCCAAGCAAACTACTACACCACTTTTCAAAACATCAAAACTAACAGAACAACAACACCTAAACTTCCACTCAAACAACACTGAAACCTATAACGCAGACTTCACAATAGACGAACTAACATCGTGCATCTCGGACCTGGGCAATACAGCCCCGGGACCGGATGACATCCACAACCAGATCATTAGACACCTACCCTCAGAAACACTTACACTCCTACTAGACATATACAACGACATGTGGCGGTCGCACTCCTTTCCGGAGTCTTGGCGTCTCGCCACTGTCATTCCAATACCCAACCAAACAAAGACCACACACACCCATCCAATTACAGACCAATAGCACTAATGAGCTGTCTGTGCAAACTTATTGAAAAAATGATCCACAAGCGACTCATGTGGTTTCTGGAAATGACGGGCTCGCTGAGCGGTCTCCAGTGCGGATTCAGGAAAACTTGATCCACTCTGGATCACCTGGTCCGCCTGGAGACCTTTGTACGCGAGACGTTTGCTGAAGGAGACCACATGATCGCCATCTTTTTAGACCTAGAAAAAGCCTTCGACACAACCTGGAAGTACGTCATTCTCAGAGACCTGCACGCTCTCGGCATACGCGGTCACCTCCCCGCCTTCATTGGCAACATCCTGAAGAACCGTTCCTTCCAGGTTCGTGTTGGATCCTCCCTTTCAGACCCCCACCAACAGGAGGAAGGAGTCCCCCAGGGGAGCATCCTTTCTCCTCTCCTATTCGAAATCAAAATAGATTCCATCGTAAAAACCCTCCAAAACAGCATAGACGGCTCGTTATACGTTGACGACTTTTCTATATGTTGGCGTTAGAAAAATCCTCATCTGAGATCTATGGAAACAAACTCGAAAAGTGGGCAAACAATAACGGTTTCAAGTTATCCCCGTCAAAGACGGTTGCAGTACACTTCTGCCGAACAGGCAGACGTGTGCTGCGGCCGGATTTGACATTATACGGGGAAAGGATTCCCGTCCAGGACCAAGCTCGTTTCCTCGACGTTATATTCGACAAAAAACTCACATTCATACCACACATCAAAGACCTTCGTGTGAGGTGCCAGAAAGCGCTTAACACATTGAAAATTCTATCGCATCCGGAGTGCTGCGGGGACTCAAAACACCTTCTCCACTTGTACATCTCCCTTGTCCGGTCCAGACTTGACTACGGCTGTCAGGTGTACGGATCAGCAAAACTACACATCCTGAAAATGTTATACCCAGTACAAAACCAAGGACTCCGCCGCGCTCAGGGGGCTTTCTTTACTTCTCCG